CCCCCAACCCCCCCAAGGTCCTCCCCCCTAGGCCTCATTTACCGGATGGTGCAGCCCAAGATCGGGCTCCTCATCTTTGTCTCGGGCAAGGTCGTGCTGACCGGAGGCAAGGTGTGCAGCGTTTCTCAGGCAAACACGCAACCCCGGGCCAAGACGCACAAGCACAGACAGTGGAGAAACAGCAACGGCAGTTAGAAGTCTCACGCTCCCCCCCCGGGGCCCCCCGCTCTGTGGTTGTGGGGCCGCCCCTAGTTGGGGAGATGTGGGGAAATGTGGGGAGATGTGCGGCCGCCCCTAGTGATGTGAGAGATAGTCAGTCCCCCCGGAGATAGTCAGTGACGGCAGAGATAGGAGCAAGGAGCATGCCGCCCCCCCCCCCCCCCGCCCCACGCTGCGCCCACGGCCGGCGCAGCGACCGGCGCAAAGCCACCCGCGGAGAGCTCAGGCGCTTCCGCTCCGCCCGCGCAGGTGCGAAACGAGATCTTCTCCGCTTTCGAGCAAATCTACCCCGTCTTGCAAGAGTTCCGCAAGCTCCCCGCCGCCGCTGCAGCCACCGCACTCACGCCGGCGACGTGACCGCCACTGGTCTCGTGGGTTGCACACTCTCGGCGGCGCCGACACGACATTTTGTGCGTGATTGCATTTCGTTGCATTCTGCATTCGATGCATTGGCGCGCGTGCTCTTTCCGGGCGGGGGCGTTCGGCCACGCGCCGCCGTCTCGCATACGGTAAGCGATCGTTCGACCACCTCACCACCTGGTCTCCAACAGAGTGTGTGCGTCGGGTGCATCAAGGGCATTTAACGGGTGCATCAAGGGCATTTAACGAAAGAACTCTCTCTCTCGCAACAGGCTCGACACAGGTGCGGAGTGGCGCGTGCTAAAGAGCCGTAGCACACTATACGGGGTGTGGACAGTTTGGAGATTGGACCCTCAGGTATACACAGAGTTGACCAGGGGTTGTGCGCTGGGCCCTCCTGCTCGGCTCCAGCCAGTAGACGAGTCTTGTCATCAACAGAGTAGAAGGATCTGACCTCGGGGCCGATGTGACCAAGCGCTGGTAGCGTGGTTTAACCTCAAACCCATGGTCTCACAGTGTGCCGGCAGTCGCCGAGCAGTGTCGCTCACACAAGCCGCAGCACAAGTGACTGAGGGCCAGTGAGGGCGAGCCCATCTCGCTGTCACAGCTGTGGCAGCCGCACAGGTAGGCTGTCTGTGTGTCAACTGTGCAGAGTGTGTGAGCAGCAGAGGAGCTGCTCTCCAGGCTTCAGGCGCAAAGCGATGCATGCCACCGAAGGCGCTGTCGAGGTTCGCCGAGCGCGGCGAAATCCGGGGACACCGTCACCGACGAGCGCGTTGGACTTTTCACTCCGGACAAAGACGGCGACACGCACACGAGCTGCGGCCGTGTCGCCGTCATAGCGGCGGTCGACACCCTTCGGTGGGGGGGGGGGGGGGGAACCCGTATCCACCGAAGGGAACGCTAGCAGGAGACGGTGCCCAGCCCTACTCAAAATGAACTCGGGGGCACAGGACGCGGTACAAACGCGGTACACCAAAAGGCACGGGCTGCCTGCACTGCGTTCACACTCGAACGCCATGCACTGATGCACATGGCGCGGAGCAGCATCGGGTTGGTGTCGAACCCGAGCGGGTCCTCCTCCCAGTCCCGGTGCCCACCCTCCGCGTCATCCTGCTCATCGTGCGCGTCGAGCACCCTGCCGAGGCACAGGACCGTCCCCTTGGGAACGCCTGCCCCTCGCGCGCGTGGGAACTCTCCCTGCACCGCCATCACGAACTTCTCGCGCGCCCACTTGCCGCCACGGCGGCAGTGCTGGGGCGCGCGCTCGCGCAGCTCCTCGTAGAGCTCCTCGGCCCTCGCCACCTCCGCCGCCCAGCCCTCCGCCGACGCCTGAGCCGACTTCTTCTCCCTGAGCGTCTTGAACACCAGCGGCGGCGCCGGCGATGGCGCCACCTCCGGCTCGCCCGCCGCCTCTGCAGCGCGCCGCCCCTTCCTCGCCTTCTCCTTGAGCCGCTTCCTAGCCCTACAGGTAGGCGCCACATTAACTGCACATGCGCGCACTTAGTAGCGGCGCACACGAGAAGCCGAGCACCCGAAGTCGGCACATACTCATACCAGCTCTATCTTACTCACTAACAACTTACTACTCATATTAAACACGGCCACGCTCATACACCATTTTTCAGAAATTATGTAGCGAGCACAATCGTCAAAGGGTGGGTAAACTCTTCGGGCGGCTCGAAGGGCATCTTCGTGTGCAGCACACGCGCCCGAGCCTGCCTCCGTGGTCATAGGGGGCGGGGGGGCGGGGGGCGGCTCTCGGCGGTGACGGCGCAGGGTGGCATTGTGCTGCAGCAGAAACTGACCCTCTCTGTCTGCTGTGATAGCTGTACTCAGTACGACAGGAGCTCTCGACTCCGTCGAGTCGCTCGACGGACGACGCCCGAGGCTCTGCTATACACAGTTTGCTACTGGTTTGTACTGCTCTGCTTCCGGATGCTACCGCGCGCCGACTCCCTTTCGCTCTCTGTCCCGCCCCTCGTCGACGGCCGCTCGGTTGGACGCTTATTCCGCTCGTTCACGCGCCTTGCGCGTTCGAAGCGCGACGGAGGGGCATTGTTTCCCGCCGAAGCGCCGTTCTGGGGCTCACTAGCGCATTTTCAACGCGCCGCTGTGGTGACGCCAGAGCCATTGAGTTTGAGATGGAGCCATTCTGGAACGCAATGGGGCATTCGCTGGTGATCGCCCCCGCCCAACCGCCCCCTAGTTTTTGGAGGCTGTCGCTCCGAGGCGGGGGCCCTAGGGGCAATGACGGCTTGTTACCGCCCACTGCCCGCTGCCTGCTAAGACGAGACAGACGAATCGTGTCGCGACACCCCGCCCCTTGGCGTTCCTCTGCACACCGGATCCGGCTCTGGACTAGACCACTGTTCTAGACCACGGAAAGTGGCCCCCGTCAGACCCGCGACCTCGCCCCCTCCCCCTACGTCGCCGCGCTCGGCGTCGCAGCTGCGAGCGTCGCCACGGGCATGGCACTCACCAGCTCTCTCACCATCTCCTCCTCGCTCGCCCCTTGCTGCGTCGCCGCCGCCGCGGGAACTGGCGACCCCGCCGCAGGCCTGACCCCCGAGCCCTCCACTTCGCGCCCCTCAGCCTCCGCCTCCGCCTCCGCCTCCGCCTCCGCCACCGGCACCGCCTCCGCCTCCGCCTCCGGTACTGCCTCCGCCACCGTCTCCGCCACCGGCACCGCCGCCGCCGCCGCCTCCTCCGCACCTCCGCCCTCGGCGCCTCCGCCGAACCAGCCGAAGGGGCTGAGCTTGGCGACGGCCATCGATGCGAGGCCGGCGATGTTGCCGAGGTGGGCGTCCGCAATCTGCTCGAGACGGCCGGGGTCAGGGGCGAGGGCGGCGGCGGCGAGGGTGGGGGGGGCGAGGGCGGCGGCGGGCTTGGCGGTGGCGGCGACGGGGACGGCGGTGAAGGCGGCGGCGGCGAGGGCGGAGGCGGCGAGGGCGGCGGAGGGGAGGGCGGCGGTGGGCTGGGTGGCGGAGGTGAGGGCGGTGGCGGGCTCGGCGGCGGTGGAGAGACGGCCGGGATCAGAAGGGAGAGTCCTAACTGCACGAGGTGGGCATCCGCAATCTGGTGTCCTCCGGAGCGTCTTCTTGTGTCTGCAGGGAGTGTCCGGGTAGAAGGGAGGCACGGGAGTGTGTGAAAGGAGTCCGCATATCTCGCCTGCTCTAGCGGGCCAAGGTCGGCGGGGTCCTCCTCGGGCATCGGCTTGCCGAGGAGCAGGCCGGCGGCGAAGCGCTGCGGCAGCTTGGCCGCACGCTCGTGCAGCAAGCTCAGCTCGTCGCGAAGCTTATCGCGCTCCTCCTTGAGGGCGTGCGCCGTCTCGTCGGCCACTGCCCGTCGCTCCTTCTCCGCCGCCGCCTCCGCGGTCGCCCTCGATGCCGCCTGCTCCGCCCCCTGCAGCCCCGCGGCACCGGCCGCGGCTGCCGCACTGGCAGCCTCGAGCTGCGCACGCAAGCCGTCGGCGGCGGAGACAGCGGCGCGCCTCTCCTCCTCCGCCGCCTCCCGCACACCGGCCAACTGTGCGTCCGCCGCCACCCGCGCCGCCGCCGCCGCCGCCGCCGCCTCGGCCGCCGCCGCCGTCGCGCCCTCCGCCGCCGCCCGCGCCGCCGCCTCGTCCGCCGCCGCCGCCTCCGCCACCACCAAGCGTTCGTTCGCCTCGGCGAGCCGCGCCTCGAGCCTGTGTCAAGTATTGTCAAGGTGAGCTGGGTCTGCGGGCTGGGCGTGTGCTACGTAATGCCGCGTGTGCTCGCGATGCCCAACCGTGACATGATCCCACCCGAGACCACCCGAGATCACCCGAGATCACCCGAGATCACCCGAGACCACCCGAGACCACCCGAGACCACCCGAGACCACCCGAGATCACCCGAGATCACCAGAGATCACCAGAGATCGCCCGAGATCACCCTAGATCACCCGAGATCACCCGAGATCACCAGAGATCGCCCGAGATCGCCCGAGATCGCCCGAGATGGCTCGGCACGGCACGTGGCGCATCTACTGCCCCCTAGCCCATGGGAATGCTCCTTCGCCGCCGCAGCCTCCGCCTCCGCCGCCGCCGTCCGGTCGACCGCCTATTCACGGCCACAGCGTGAGCGGACGCTGTCCTCCTAGGCTCCCGCCATCGCCCTGTCGACCGCCTCAGAGAGCAGCGCCAAGTTTGCAGCCAGCCTTGACTTGAGGTCGACCATCTCCGCCGCCGCCTCGGCCTCGGCCTGCTCCTTGCCCGCAATGGCCCGCGCCAGCTCCGCCTCCTTCTCCAAGCGCGCCGCCTCCGCCGAGTCTCCTCGCTCCTTCGCAGCCTAGACCCTCCCAGATTCGCCGAGATCAGCCGAGATCAGCCGAGCTGCTCGCCGAACCGCCTCGCCCCCCTCGCGGCCTCCGCGGCCGCCGCAGCCTCCTCAGCCGCCGCCCGAGCCGCCGCCGCCTCGCCCGCCTCGCGTAATGCGACAGCGTGCAGCTCGGCGCGTGCCTGAGCATGAGCCTTCGCGTCTTCTACCCACGGCGCCGCAAGCCCCTCGGAGGGTGTCGGAAGTGTCTCGGAAATGCGTCGGGAGCGGCTCTCGGAAGTGTCTCGAAAGTCTCTCGGAAGTGTCTCGAAAGTCTCTCGGAAGTGTCTCGAAAGTCTCTCGGAAAGTGTCTCGAAGTGTCTCGAATCTCTCTCGCAAGTGTCTCAAGGGCGTCTCGCCGCGCGCCTCCTCCCTCACCCGAGCCGCCTCCGCCTCCACCTCCGCCACCCTCGCCCGCTGCGCCTCCGCCTCCGCCGCGGCCGCCGCCCGCTCCGCCGCCGCCGCTGCCGCCTCCGCCGCCGCCGCCGCCTCCGCCTCCGCCGCCGCCTCCACCGCCTCCGCCGCCTCCCTTTCGCGTTGCAGGAGCGCCTGCGCCATCTGCGCCTCCGTCTCCCGTGACGCCAAGTGCGCCGCCTCCAGCCTCCGGCACTCGGCCGCGCGCGCCTCAACCTCCGCCCGCAGCTCGGCGAGCAAGCTCGAGTCAAGCTCGAGCTGCGCCTGGAGGTGTGTCGGAGGTGTGCCGGAGGTGTGTAGGTGTGTCTCGGAGGTGTGTCGGCGGTGTGTAGGTGAGTCTCGGAGGCGTGTCGGAGGCGTCTCGGAGGTGTCTCGGAGGTGTCTCGGAGGTGTCTCGGAGGTGTCTCGGAGGTGTCTCGGAGGTGTGTCGGAGGTGTGTCGGAGGTGTGTAGGTGTGTCTCGGAGGTGTGTCGGCGGTGTGTAGGTGAGTCTCGGAGGCGTGTCGGAGGCGTCTCGGAGGCGTCTCGGAGGTGTCTCGGAGGTGTCTCGGAGGTGTCTCGGAGGTGTCTCGGAAGTGTCTCGGAGGTCAAGCTCGAGCTGCGCCTGGAAGCCGGCCTCCACCTCCGCCCGTGCCGCCTCGCCTTGAGCGCGTACCGCTTCCAGTTCCGCCGCGTGCGCCGCCGCCGCCGCGCCACCGCGCTCTCCCGCCGCGGAGAGCTCGACTTCGACCTCGGCCACGCGCGCACGCGCCTCCGCCTCTGCCTCGCGCGACCGGCCCAGCTCTGTTTCTGCCTCGCACAGCTGCGCCTTGAGAGATGCCACCTCGGCCGCCGCGGCAACCTCAAAACCGCCGCGCCTCTCGCCCGCCGCCGCCCTCCACGCCGCCGCCGTCGCCTCGGCCGCCATGGCCGCTGCCACCGCCTCGTCCTCGCCCTCGCCCTCGTCCTCGTCCTCGTCCTCGTCCTCTTGCTTCTGCTCCTGCTGTTGCTCCTCCTCTGCCTCCTGTTGCTCCTGCTGCTCCTGCTCCTCCTCCGCCACACCCTGGAGCGCGGGGCCATCTCTGCAGCCGTTGGACAGGCGCTCTTCCGCAACCGCCGCCGCCGCAGCAGCCTCAGCGTCAGGTGGTCGAGCGAAGAGGTGGTCGAGCGAGTCGAGACTGTCCCGCTCCTCCTCCGCCACCGCTGCAGCCTCTGCCGCCTCCGCCTCCGCCTCCGCCTCCGCCTCCGCCGCCTCCTCCTCTTCCGCCCTGAGACGGGCATCCTCCTCCTTCTGCCTCACCCGCTCCGCCTCCGCCGCAGCGGCCGCCTCGGCTTCGGCTTTCTCGCGCGCCTCGTCCTCCAGGCGTACTCGCTCCGCCTCCGCGGCAGCCTCCGCCTCTGCCTCTGCAGCAGCCTCTGCCTCTGCCTCAGCAGCAGCCTCTGCCGCCGCCGCCCTCTCCGCCTCCTTCGCCGCCTCCTCAGCAGCCACTCTCGCCTCCTCCTCCTGCGCCGCCTTCTCGGCCTCGGCTCGGACGGCCTCCTCCAGGCGTACTCGCTCCGCCTCCGCTGCAGCTGCCTCAGCAGCCGCCGCCTCCGCTGCAGCCGCCTCAGCAGCCGCCGCCTCCGCTGCAGCCGCCTCAGCAGCCGCCGCCTCCGCTGCAGCCGCCTCAGCAGCCGCCGCCTCCGCTGCAGCCGCCTCAGCAGCCGCCGCCTCCGCTGCAGCCGCCTCAGCAGCCGCCGCCTCCGCTGCAGCCGCCTCCGCAGCAGCCTGCTCCTCGAGGCGGGATTTCTCTGAGGCCGCCGCCTGCTCTGCCGCCACCCGCGCCGACTCCTCCTCCGCCGCGCGCGCCGCCTCTTCGGCCGCCCGCGCCGCCTCGGCCTCGGCCGCCTTTGCCGCCTCGGTCGCCGCCGCCTTCGCCGCCTCCGCCTCTGCGAGTTGTGCATGGAGCGCCTTCATCTCTCGGACTTTGGCGAGAGCGCCATGCTTGTCGCCCGCTGCGCGGAGCGAGATAGCTTCGGCCTTCAGCGCCTTGCAGCGCTCAGATAAGGCTGCGATGTCGATGTCCATCGCAACGTTGGAAGCGACTTTGGGAAAGGGACACTGGACAGCGCGGCGCCGGACTCACAAGGCAATGCAAAATAAAACTCAATACGTTAGTAACGTGTGTGCTGTTGATCTGTTCGCAAAACCGCCGCGGTCGCCGTTTTGCGTTGGTGCCCCAGTCTCGCGACGAACCGCGCCAGCCCGCCAGGGCGCTCGGCATGACCAGCCTCGACCATGGCGCCCTCCACGACTTTGACTTTGGCTCCGGCGCTCCGGCGCCCTCTGCTCCCTGGACCATAATCGCTCCATGTGCTGGCGGCGGCGGCGCCGTCGCCGTCGTGGCCGGCTGGCTGCTGTGGCGCTGGTGCAAGCGGAGGCGGCTGCGCCGAATCTGGAGCCAGCACGTGCTGCGCTCCGACGCTGTCAACTACGCCTGGTCGCCTTCGAACGCTCGCTTTCTCGATGCGCATGCACAGGACACGCCTCCCTCGGCGAGGGACACGACTCCGCGCTTCTCTCAGGCCGGCGATGATCGCTGATGCGGCGCGCACGAGTCCGCCATGGCGCGTACGCGCCACCGTCGACACTCGACGAGAAGATGTGTCATTGCTTGCCTCTTGTCTTGAGGCATATGCCTTGTTGCCCTTGTACGTACCTGCTCGTTCTGAGGGTGGCACATCCCCGTTCACACCTACACACGGGTAATCAACCCCGCTCCCCCATGAATATGAATCGCCGAATTTGCATGGCGGGCGCTTGACGAACCAGGGGGAACGGGCGTGGCAACCACAAGCACAACCACACGTCAGGCGCGTGTGTGTGGACGCCGTGGAGTGTTGTGTGTGGCAACTCATGATCGAACCAGCGACTCATAGAGTCGAACCACGACTCATAGAGTCGAACGGGACCACGGCGAACGTGGTAGTGGCAACCACGGCGGACGTGGTTGTGGTAGGTCATGATAAAACCGGAAAGGAAAAAGAGAAGCCACAACCCCCACGCGACTGAAAACAGAAAAAGACAAAAGTCTTAATGGACCTGTCCTAGACTCTGTGGCTGAAGTAGCGTGTGCGTCGAAGCCACAAGAGGGCTGGCATAGCCCGAGAATTGGTCAAGAGGGGGGTTGGCGTGTCCTTTAGTTTTCCTTGAACAGTTTGATGGGTGGAACGATCGCCGCAAGGCGCAAGGGGGCGTGAACGCACAAGTGCGTAATGACCGCAAGTGGTTCGTGAACACCGCAAGGGGTGTGAAAGTACATACTCCATTTATCCACAGATACCATAGTCCATACCAGCAAAGTACCCGAATCCAACTCCACGTGCCCAAGCGCACACCGGCCGGAGCGCCACCGGGGGGTGCCGCCCTCCCGTTCATGACATCATGAGCCCAACAACACGAACGCTATCCATCCTCACCGGCCCCCATCCCCGTGGTCGGCCTCGCTCGCCGCGCCAAGCCGCGGTCCGGTCGTCCGCCCGGCGGCCAAGGGCGGGGAGGGGGCCACCCGCGCTCGCGCAGCGTACTTGTTTAGCTTACTGGGAGAAAAGAGAGAGGGGGTTGTGTTCTCTAGGCCCCTAAGGGCCCTACGCGCGGCGTGAGAGGCAGGCTGTGGTCATGACGCAGTCATAGGGTGTTATGTGCCGTCAGAGTGACTCTCTGTGTGTCAGGGATAGTCAGGGCCGTCCATCAGAGCTCCAGTAAGCTCGGAGACACCCCATTAGCGCGGCTCGACCTCTTTGAGTCACTGCCTTCCCGGCGGTTTGGATGTAGAGCCTCTTGAGCACTTGAGCACTTGATAGGGTCGATTCCGCATGGTAGAGCCTCTATATATCTACAGCAAAATCGCGCTCTACATCGGACTCACATCGTCCTGCGCCGGATGTAGAGCTCTACAGCTCTAGCCTCTACAGCGCTCTACATCTCTATGCCGAGCCCAAATCACTGTGTGTCACACATAACACATCGCTAGTCATGTACAATGATTGACATCTCTACAGCTCTATCTACAGCGCTCTCACACTTCACACCCTCTACACCCTCCCTCAGAGCGGGCGGAGCCTCGTCGAACGACCCGCCTGCACACGGGCCAAAGGAAGCGCCCGTGGTCTCACAGACTCTTTAGGTAGGTAGGTAGAAAGGTGAAGAACAGCCAGGCTCGGACTGGACACCAACGCGGTATGGGTGGACGCTGGACAGATGATGACGACACGCACGAGCGACACACAGACACAAACAAGCTCACAAGACACACAGCCAGCTGGCTGCCACACACCCTGAGTTGGCGTACACATAACTCAAGGCCACATCCTCCCTGTCGCCCCCCCCAGCACTCCAAGGTGCCAAGAGAAACAAACAAGGGCACAACAAACAACAGACGACAGGAAGTGACATGTGAGGCTAGAGCAGCATGCTCCACCTCTAGCAATCTCTCCGGCCGGCGAGGCATGGGCGAGACCGTATGTGGGGTCTAGTGAGGTGTCTATGGACGCCCTCCTCTTTGTGTGAGCAAACCTCGCATAAAAAAGAATTTTTTCTGGAGTCCCTCGGCGAGCATCGGGGTGCACCGACGCGAAGGTCGGACGCTTCTCCTCCTCCTCCCCACTACCCCTCATCCCCACTCACAGCCTGTGCGAGCTGTGCGGGGCCGCTCGCTGCGAGGAGGGAGCGCATCACGCGCCTTCCGCCGAATCTCCGATCCAACGTTGCCGGTGCTAAACCTCACGCCTTCCGTGCCGCCACAGATCATGCTCTCGGTTGCGAGGCGAGCGCGATGCGGCGTGCCGGCGGCGAGATGTATGTCGTCGCTGGTCAAGGTGAGCCCGACAATGGCCAAGCTTATTCGCGATATGGGCCTTGAGGGCGTTTATATCACTCCCAGCGGTCCAAAGGACACGGTGACGAAACCGGATATCGACGCAGCGGCTGCCGCGAAGGTGGTGGTCTCTGCGCGGCGCTGCCGCCGTGGTGGCGTAACGGTCACTCGCTCCCATCACGACCTCAGGCGGCGAAGGATAAGGAGCTCGCCAAGCCCCTGACCATTGACTTCCGGCCGATGGAGGCGCGAGGGCGCTGCTCCCGAGACCCTTGCCTGAGACCCTGCTGGCAGCAGCGGCAAGCCCCTCGACTCCCCCCCCCGACC